TTTATGGGATGAAATGGACCAACAACTAAAAATGTTCCTGATGTTGCAGCACAAATATAAACTAAAGGACAGCGGGTAGAATAGACCACTACTTTTGTGTGAAAAAATACCAGCATTACTTACAGGCTTTTTTATGCTGATTTCGTTGACGAATATAGCAAAATATCGTAGACAAGCATATCATATAGGTGAGAAATTTGGGGATACAGCGTCTTGATTTTGGAAATGATCGAAAAATATTTAGGGGTTCAAATGAAGCAAAAATAGAAAAAAATTGCCTGATCACACAATTGAAGACAATCGACACGCCTGAGAAGAGAGTTAAGGACAGGGAGGATTTCTAGCGTTTTAGATGACCATTGATTTGTCCCCTGTTCAAAAAGCTTAGGGTACTATCTGGGCAGTGCTCTATGACATAACTTCAAAAGCGAAATGGATTTCGACATAAGGGGGCTTCTAACATATTGTAGTGTTATAGGGTATCACATGGTCGGCCCCGCACGGCTTTAGCCTTTTCTTATTTGTTTTTAAATAAGTTCTTTCTAAAAAAATAAATACGAAGTATAGCGCAAACTACTGAGGACCATATGTCTGTGATTTAGGTATCCTCAACCCTGACGATGTAGCAGCATCGACTTCACTTGAAATTACCTACCCCCGCACTAGACCCTAAATTTGTTGCACAGTGTAAATCGTGTAGATGGACAAGATTAGTCGATTTTCCAACAAATGCTTTACTATGTAGGGTATTATACACTTGAATACTTTTTACATCCCTTTCTCCATATCGTACATATTTTAAGACCTCGAAATAGATCCGGTGCTTTTTATCAAAGCTTAACATTCCGCAAAATTTACCACTATCTCCATGTCGTTATATATGTGTATACAAAAAATTCCCTGATATTTCCAATAAAACGAAACTTAAAACCGTGTCCATGAATATTTCCATGCGAGAAGAAAAACAGGCTTAACGAAAACTTCGAGGCACGTTCCTCCCGCAGTACTCAAATATTCTACTGTAAATTTTCTAAACCAAAAAAAAAAAGTATTTTAAAACTACACCACGGGATTAGTGTTGAACCTGTTGCAACAACAAGAACACCAGCAAAACACCACACGATATTTAACATTGCTATTGCGGTTGTATTAAAAACTCATACAAATACCAGCTACTACCAAAAAGGATGATTTCTAGTTGAAATATCAGCGAATAAGTGTGAGTGTGTGTAAGAGCGACTTATGTGGGTGTGTGGCAGCATAAAAACAAGTGGTTTAAATGTGTGATCATGTGTGTGTCCATGTTTAAACAGCGAGACCTAAATCTGTGGGTGTAGATTATGCCAATGCAGATGAAGGTTTTTTCCACTTTACAAAGTCCGTCTGATTGATATATGATGTTGTTGCGGATTGCGGACAAGTGTAGTTGGTTTGGCGAGCACACCACGAAATGTACAAAAAATAATTGTTGGCATTTAAAAAGGAAGAAATGCAGAGAAATAGAAATAGGTTAACTAAACAGGTGCATGATGCCGAATAAAGAAATTATACAAATTTATTTTAATAATTTTTTTTTTGACTACAATGAAAGCGATCTGATACAAATACGTAGTTTTATCAAAAAACAAATAGATGTTTCATGACCACCAGAATGTTTAAAAAATTAGCTATAGAAGAAACTGTAAGACCATTTATTTTTCAGGAAAGTCAAGAATTTTTTTTTCTTCGAAAGATAAATCATGCTGCTACTTAGTAAAAATGAGGCAATGAACATGATACACAATTTTATTATATTTTCTCCAATAAAATACATAATAGTTGTATTTTATCTATTTTTTAATATTATGTTAATAAAAAAAACAAGTAAGCAAAGGTTAAAGTCGTGCGGGGCCGACTATGTTATACCCTACAACACTACATATGTTAGAAGCCCCCTTATGTTCAAATCCATATTTGAAGATTTCTCTTTTGAAATTAAGATTTTGACTAGGGACATTAGCCCAACATTTATGCGCTCCGTCGGGCTGTTAGTTGTTGTAGTCCATTTTACAGCTAAATATAATCCAATGGTCATCCAAAATGCTAGAATTCTTCCCTGTCCTTAACTCTCTTCACAGGCGTGTCGATTGGCTTCAATTGTATGATCGGAAAAGCATTTCTGTTGTTAGTTAATTTGAACTCCTAAATATTTTGCGATCATCTCTAAAAGCAAGAAGTCCCTCTGTATATCCAAATTTAGACTCATCTATCAGCGTCAACGAAATCAGCATTAAAAGCCAGAAGTTCGCCTTTTGTGTATTTCAGATATCGCCTGCAAGTAATGCTGGCATTTTTTCACACAAAATTAGTGGTATATTGTACCCGCTGTCCGAAACTCTAACTTTGTGCGAGATTTCGTGTCCTTTGGTTTCTATTTGTGACCTTGATAACGGCTGCAATCAGGAAAAATTTTAGTTGTTGGTCCATTTCAACCCCTAATATATTGCGGACACCTTTGAAAACAGTAGGCCTAGCCCATCTGAGCCCAACCCTACTCTTGTGAAAATTTTCGTAAGGATCGGACGATAATTGCAATATGCATTTAATATCCCCAACCTGTGCTTAAGGTGAAAAAAATATAACAAAATATTATAAGTCAAATTGAAAAAATCGCATGCGATAAAAAATATGAAAAATAAAAATATGTCACAAAATACTACAAAATCTATAGTAACATCATTATTGGCATATTTTTATACTTTAATGACAGGAGGGCATTCTGAATTGACAAAATTTATCAAAATCGGTCCAGCCATACTTGAGATATAAGCATTCTAGCTAACATCCCCTTCCTTTCTATATATACATGGTATATATTTTACTATATATATCAGATATATTTACTATCGGCGTCTACGTAATGGTCAGAATTGACCTGTTCGTCTATTTGTGATTGCGCCGGGATTACAAATATTCGTGGTTTAATGGAAAATTTGACTTTTATTTAACACAAATGTTGTGGGCTATTTCACCCACTAAATATTACCCGATGACCATCAAAATTGGAAGGCTTCTACTCAGCCCTAAGCTCTAGCCCCATGCTAACTTTCGCTTCGATTGGTCTATAATTGTGACCTGTAGATCAACTGCAATATCAGGAATTTTTTCAGTTTTTGGTCCATTTCAACCCCTAAATATTATGCGATCATCTCCAAAAGAATATGGTTCTATTCTGAGCCTAGCCCTACCTCCATTCTAAATTTCGTGAAGATCGGGCCATAATTGCGACCTGTAGAGTGATTACAAATTAACATGGACAGACGGACATACATAGCTAGATCGACTCAGCTCGGCGAGATAGGAAGATCCATATATACTTTCCTTTGTGGGAAACCAATATTTCGTGGTGTTACATAATTTTTGGCCCAATCAAACTTATAATACCCCCAACACATAGTGTTAATATCTTAAATAACAAATATTTAAAAAATTGTTTCCTTTAAAACTATTCAATAAAATTCACTTCAGTATGAAACCATATTCGAATATGAATTCGGCTAAATAGTCGTGGTGACCTATTTCCAGAATTTATGTCCGCTTAGCATGAAAACAGAATAAACTGCCTAGTTACGAAGCATTTTCGTTTTCCTAAAATGGAAGGTGGAGCAAGAAATTGGAAAACCTTCCTCTTCTGTTTCTGTTTAATGTTTCCTTTTCATGTCAAATTTCTTAAAGGCTCTTAGTTCAGTGAACATGTTGGTATGCGTCTAACCTTGAGGAAATTATTTTTGGATTCTTAGTTTAGTTTATTACAATTTCCTCTCTGCTAATAGCAGACTATATTTTTAGTTTAAAAGAAAGTAGGTTTTGTGAAATTTTTGATATGAATTTCCACAAAGTTTCTAATGAACTTTGAGCAACGAATATTAATCAACTGTACAATTGATTTTACAACCATAATATAGATGTGAAGTTTTTTATTCAGAAATTCAAAAGATGTGCATGAAAAAATCCAAAGTAGTGGTTCTTGACAGAATCTGTGTTTACATAGACATCGAATTGATCTAAAGGGCTGATGACAGAGTCTTCATTTTGAAGGCAGGTCCTCCCATTAAAGGCCAGAAGCTCTTCTCCTTGAAGACCAGAAAATCTTCTCACTTAAGGCCTGAAGGTCTTCTAATTGAAAGTCAAAAGAAGGCCTTTCAACAAGACTAAAAGAAGATTGCATAGAAAACAAAAGGGGTTTTCAAAGATCGCCAAAATGTCTTCTTATAAAAGGCGATACGGTTTTTTATATAGAAGGCCAGAAGTTCTTCTTATAGAAGACCAACATTTCTTATCATAGGAAGCCAGAAAGTCTTCTCAAAAGGCTTTCTCATAGAGGTCCTTTCATTGAAGGCAGAAGGCCTCTCAGTGACGAAAAGATAGTCTTCTCGTAGTAAGCGAGAAAGTCTTCTCGTGGATGACGAGAAGATCATCTCGTTGGGGACGAGAAAGTCTTCTCATATTTGATAAGTGGTCTCTCGTTGAAGACGAGAAGGTCTTCCATTAGAAGGCGAGAAGGTCTTCTACTAGAAGACAAAGAAGTCTTCTCATAGAAAACTGGAAGGTTTTCTTAAAGAAGAATAGTAGGTCTTCGATTGTTAGTATTTGCAAAGGAGAACACATCTCTTGTGATAGGAGACATGAGGGTCTTTTAATAGAAGGCCCCAAAAAATCTATTTATGTTGGAATAGAAAAGGCCAGCAAGTTTTCTTATTGAATAACTTTTGGTAAATTCATACCCTATAGTATTCTCCAAAAATGCCATAACTTATTTCTATGCTTATTCTGAACGAACTTATATGTTTTTTAAAATACAAAATATTCTCTTACCTCGAATTACAACTTGCCCTACCACTCACTTTTTGTACACATAGCCTATCTTTGTTCTCCTTGTATTTCCCCATAAAATATTTTCATAAGTCCATAAACTTGTTTCATATTTTCATTTCACTCTTTGCTTTCTTGATAACTTTTAGGCTTGGCTGGATTACGACTCATTAAAGTTTCCATACCCAGTTATAAAATGCGTGGTGAATCAACATTTATGGAATGCCAATATGAATTGAATAGATCGAAAAGTCTTTATGGTGGATTACACAGAAATCGGAATCATCACAGTCACGGCCAATACCAGCAACAGCGTCATCAATATCGGCAATATGGCGGTCATACAGGGGGAGGCAGCAGTATACATTATGATGATAACGATGATTTGCCACAATACCGACGACCTCACACATATCCACAACAAACGTATAAGCAACAGCGACAACAACAGCAGCAGCAACAACAACAACAGTATCAGTATCAACACAGGCAACCTTATTTTCAAGCACAAATCCAGACACATAAAGCTCTTTGGCAGGATATGAACAACATTAGAAGTAGAAGTAGTAATGGCGCACCTTCTCACCATCAGCAACATCTCCAGTATCCATTCTTGCCACAGAAACAAAAACGCCAATACAATCCAGAATATCCAACACTACCGCCCTCGCCATATGGTCACAGTGTATATCGAGGGAGATCTCAAATGTCCTCCACCTCGTATTCATTGTCGTCGTCATCATCCTCCTCCTTGTCACAGTCTTCCCCCTCTATAACCTCCTCGGGCAGCCACGCCAGCAATTATGGCGGTCGTGTTGGAGCCAGCACTTACACAGGTAGATCATCGTCATCCTACCCCGGAACAGGGTCAGGTGTTTTCGGCAGCAGTAGTTATGGACATCACGATGATAACTTTGCCGATAGTAATGAACGCAAAGAACACATTGACGACGAGAACTCCAACGAAGAGGATGAGTTCGATAACGAGGCAGACAGCGATGCCGACGACGAGGAGGAGCACGACGAAGAGGAGGGCGAGGATTTGTATGCCATTAAATGGTACAAGGATAATGAAGAATTCTATCGTTTTGTGCCAAAAGCGAATCCACCAAAAACGAGTTACAGAGTTGATGGCGTACGAGTTATTGTAAGTATGAATTATTATTGCTTTTATGGTTGTTGCACACTCGTATTTTAGGAAGAAAGGAAATTACATTTTCAAGATAAAGCACGAACATCCCCTTACACAGCTACAACAGATACTTATACGCACACACACACCTACATGCAGTTGTGAGATTTGCTAACTCCAGCACATGCACACAAAACCACCTGCTCTCAATGCATCCTCCAAAGTTCCTTTGTTACAAAAGTTTTATTTATCTTACCTTCCGGTATGTGTCCACAGAGAGTGAGAGAGATATTGTGCTCTTCGGGGTAGAGGGGAAAGTTCATGTCAGAACCACTAGGCAACAGCATGGAGTTATATGATATATATTTTTTGAGGGGAACTGGTAAGTGCAGATACAAAAGAACATTACATAAAATCCATAAGATATTTCCTCCGCCCTTGTCATACACAAAGTAATGTGCACTTCTGCTGGAAAACTATTTCATTATTGTTGTCATTCTACAATAAAAAAATCGAAATTAATGTCTTTCGTGTTTTTGATGCGTGATTATTTATTTACAAAAATACGATACAAATTCTCCGCAATAAATCATCAAAATTGTGGACCACGGAATGGTCAAACTAGCGATGCATTCATTTATGAACTTTTGAATAAAGTGGATATATCTATAAATTAGGTATTAATATTAACAGGGATACAACTGTGGACGCAACCATTCAGCCTATGTGCATTTATTTAAATATATATTTTTCTACTTGCGTTATAGGTATACAAATATTGACTCAGTATGGGGAAGATGCCGAAGCATGACGTCCAAAGTTTGAATGATATCGACAGCTAAATGCTTAACTTCATTGGTAGATGTACTATAGAATAAGTTGAGATTTGTTCGAATTGGTCACCTTTGGACCGAATTATGACCTTCAAACGGCCAACCGTCACATTCTGCCCGAATGTTGCTCTACGTTATTTTGGCCCATTCCCGACGATGCGCTTGCTTTAGGTGATCGACACTTAGGTATTTTTATACCCTCCACCATACTATGGAGGGTATATTAATTTTGTCATTCCGTTTGTAACTCATCGAAATACTCATGTCAGACCCAAAAAAGTATATATATTCTTGATCAGCGTAAAATTCTAAGACGATTTATCCATGTCCGTCTGTGTGTCTGTCTGTCTGTCATTTACATATAGATTGTTCCTTTTTCGCTACATATCCGATATTTTGGTTATCAGCATCACTGTAATGGTTAGTAGTGACCTTCTAATAAATTTGTGATTTGGCCGGGATTAAAAAAATACGCGGTTTTGTGGAAATTTTCGTATTTTTTGACACAAAAGTTATGAGTTATTTTACCCGTTAAATATTGTTCGATTACCGTACAAATTGGTAGGCTTCTGCCCAACCCCAAACTCTAACACCAGCAACTGCAAAATGAATAAATTTTTCAGTTTTTGGTTCATTTCAACCCCTAAATATTTTACGTTCATCTCCTAAAACAATAGGCTTCTATTCTGACCCTATCCCCACCTCCATTTTCAATTTCGTGAAGATCGGGCCATAATTGCGATTGATTATGAATTAACATGGACAGACGGTCGGACGGACATGCATTGCTAGATCGATTCAGCTCAGCGAAATAGGAAGATCCATATATACTTTCCTATGTGGAAAACCAATATTTCTAGGTGTTACATATAATACATAGTATTGTAAGATATAAAAATAAAAGTAATCCACAAGAAGAATTAAACTTTTTATACCCTCCACCATACTATGGAGGGTATATTAATTTTGTCATTCCGTTTGTAACTCCTCGAAATACTCATGTCAGACCCAACAAAGTATATATATTCTTGATCAGCGTAAAATTCCAAGACGATTTAGCCATGTCCGTCTGTCTGTCTGTTGTAATCACGCTATCTTTCGAACAAATTGGCCAAATTAAGTTCGTAATTGGCCATGTAGGTCCAAGTTATCATATAGCCCCCATATAACTGTACCTCTCGATATTCAGTATTTTGATGATTTTAGCGACATTATTCACCGGAATTGTTTCAAATTTGACATTTGAAGTTCGTAATGGATACTTCAGCCCATGCCAGATAATTGTCTGTGCAGGTCCACGTCTTCGTGTAGCCCCCATATAACGGTACCCCCGATATTCGGTATTTTGATGATTTTAGCGACATTATTCACCGGAACCGTTTCAAATTTGGTATTTGAAGTTCGTAATGGATACTACATTCTAAGTAAAACAATGAGCCATGTAGGTTCACGTTTTCATATAGCCCCCATATAACGGTACCCCCCGATATTCCGTATTTAATGGATACTTCAGCCCATGCCAGAAAATTGTCTGTGCAGGTCCACGTTTTCTTATATCCCCCATATAACGGTACCCCCCATATTCGGTATTTTAATGATTTTAGCTATTTAACTATGCCTATGCAGGCCACGTCGTCGTATAAGCATTCGGTATTCTTAAGATTTTAACAGAATTTTTAACGGATTTTATTTTAGGGAAATTGCCAAATTCGTACCAAATGGTGGAGGGTATTAAAAGTTCGTCCCGGCCGAACTTACAGCTTTTTTTCTTGTTATTTTTTAATTACAGCAAAAAAAAAAAAAACATTACTTTTGCGCCACCGTGTATATCCAATTTTGATTTATTTTAGCACAAAATTAGAAGCAATTTTATCAAAGTTGGTGAAAATAGATTAAGATGTAGCTATAGCTCCAATACATATGTTTCATCTGATTTTGTATCTAAGCTTCAAATCAGTAATATACCCTCGATAACAATGGTTGTCGGTAAAATACATCACGGATATCTTAGAAACATATTTGCCATACTCATCTATATGTATATTTTAACTCTTATATGTATTTTCTCTAATTTGATTAAAAAAAAAAATGGTGTCAAATTTTACATCGTCCCCGCTTAGTTTGGACGTTTAGAGAATATCTGCTTAGCGGGGTAATGCAAAACTAATGTCTAAAGTTAAGATATCTAAAAATGTATTTAATTTGCAAATGTGGTTTCCGAAGTTGTTCCTGAACTATAACAACTTATATACTCTTTACACCTTAAGGTTTCAAAACCTACCGAAAAATATATTTCAGTCATTATTTTCAACATAATTAAAATGTTATCTTTTCTAATTATCATACACAAATTCTCTCAACAATTCGGAAATAACCTCTTTCGTTTGTTTTTATTAGGGATAATTTTTTATATAACCAAATGTAAAATCAATTGAATATTTTATTTATTTTTTCATTCCAGGAAGAACATTCAGACAGCTCAAGAGTTCTCTTAAGGGGGCTTACAATCAATTCAACAGGACTGTATCGTTGCGAAATATCAGCGGAGGCGCCAAGCTTTGCCTCTGTACAGGGTGAAGGACAAATGGATGTTGTGTGTAAGTATTTGTTGTAAGAAAATTCAATGAAATTTTGTTTATATTTGAAAATGATAAGTTAAATTTGAATATAGATAAGAACTAACTTGGCAGACAGCAGTGAACAAAAATAGATCTGCCTCGACTTGTTAATGACTCTAGTGTCGTACAAAGCGTTATGAAGGGTTCAACTAGAAAAAAATCTAACTTTACCAACTCGATATCATTTAAAACTTTAAATTCCAATGATGTTTCAATTAAAAAAAGAAAGAAACGAGTCTGTAAATGTTGTATTTATTATTGTTCGACTTTCGTGTAAAAATTCATGACAACTGGATTGTAGTTGCGACCTGGATTGATTTTGTATCGTAAATTCTATGATCTTCGCTTAGTATAATTCCCATTTTCCCTACAGAACCCAAATTCTATTATCTTCAGCATGTCTTCTGTGCAAATTTAGTATCCGCCACATTAAATTTCATGCCAAAAAATTATGGGGTTAAATACACAATAATTGTGTCACCTATTACTCATAATACATCTCATTTGTCAATATATCATTTTTTTTCTTCTACATTCTCCATTTTCTCCATTTACCCCCAGTTTGATGAGAGAAAAAACAAATACTAACTTCTTTTCTAAAAGTAACTTTAAATAACCTAACCTGCTACAATGCACTGCACGTATCGCATATGGTTTTTGCGTATAAGGAGTGGCTAAAAATCCTTTATAAAAATAACTTAATACGTTTTAAAAAAGTTCAAGGGCAAAAGTTTTCCTACCATGAAAATGAAAGCAAATATAATATGTTTCCTCTCTGCATACAATCCCAGCGTCTTGCCATGGAGACAATTCCACCTTTAGAACGTTCTACTTTTGCATCAGTCAGAGTAGATAAATTATGGGACAATCTTCTTTTTTTGCTCGATTTCATTTTTTTGGGAAAGCTAAACAAACATTCCATTGAATTCAAGTCACGTTTTTTCATCGGAACGAAGTCAACGCTCAATTCAGCCAACAGCGACAGCAAATCATCAGAACACCGAGAATTGTATAACATTAGTTATATCATCAATAGGAAATCTATTCGTTGTGAATAAAATGAAAATCAAAATGAAAAACTGTTTTATAATAGGGAAATTAAGTCAATTTGTAAATGTTAAATTAAGCAGATTAAATTGAAAAACCTTTCAATTAACGTTACGTTTTCATTTCCCCCTTTTTCCTCCACAGACTTGCCACGTGATGGGCCGCACATAAAGGGCCAGCAATTCCAATATCAAATTGGTGAATTATTAATTTTAAATTGCTCATCGGGAAAATCACATCCAGCATCACATTTGCAATGGTTCATCAATGATCAGCCGGTAAGTGGATTTATATGGAATACAATTTAATAATTACATTTGAATTTTATTTTTAAAATTATGGGGAAAAATAGATAGGGATTGGTGAGATTTTTTCATATATTATTTGGGAAGCGGTGTGCCGAAAATACAACACATACACAATCAATCCAATTCGGTCTTAAAAATATTGCTAAAAATATTCAAGACAAGAGTCATGTGTACCTTTCACATCTTTAAAGTGAGATTATCCATGTTACAAGAACTATGCTATGACTATCAAATATCTTCATGATATATTCATCATTCGGTTTTTGACGGATATACACATCAGCATATAGTCTAGGGGATTTAGTCAATTCATACCAATCGAAAGTATTTCCTCAATTTCATATTTGAAAATATTATTATGGAATTTCTACTTTTTATATACAAAAAAACAATGTATTTTAAGGTTATTACAAGTTTGGCCCGAAAAGTTTATAACACCTCGAAATCTTGATCCTATACCCACCATGTAGCATATCGATCTTCCTTAACCATATCTTTGTGTGAAATATAGCCCAACATTTTTATACCCTACGCCACATAAGAGTATTATGACTTTGTACATTTGTTTGCAACATGGAGACGGAAGCGAGGTAGACCCATAGCTACTTTTGAGGATCTTCATAGAATAACTTTCTGAGTCGCAAAACCTTGGACATTCCAAGTATGGTTACAAATTTCTCGCTTCATTTCCAGCTCACAATGGTCACCAAAATGTCCGGATACCAATCCATTGGACTATTGTGTATGGAGTATTTTGGAAAGCAAGGTTGACACTAAAAAATACCAAAGTGTCGATTACCTCAACCAAGCGCTTCGCCCGGAATGGGTCAAAATACCGCAGAGCAACATTCGGGCAGCGTGTGATGGTTTCATTGGCCGTTTGAAGGCTATAATTATTGCCAAAGGTGACAATTCGAACAAATCTAAACTTATTCTAAAATTTGATGCTATTTCCGATATTTTTTTGTTTCATTCAATAAAATTTAAATTCGTAAAAATTATGGCGTTTTACTTTGATGCCGTTTTTTATCTCACCCTGTATGTTTCATCCGATTTGAGGTTGAAGTCTCTCACATTCGTAATATGCATTGGACAACAATGATATTTGGTACCAGTTATCAGATTCAGCCGAAAAATACCTCTGCCAAGTTTTATCAAGATCGGTTCAGATTTGGATATAGGTCTGATATATATATTCAACCGATCTCGGGTTAATTGGCCAATGGCCAATATCAGTCCAAAAGTCCTGAACTTTGGTACATCCGACCGAATTCAGTCTAGAAGCAAGTACATCGAATTTGGGAAAAATCGGTTCAGATTCATTCACATTCATAATATGCTTTCGACAACAATGATATTTGGTACAGATATCTTATAAAGCTCTGAAACACTTTTGCCAAATTTTATCGACATCAGCTAAGATTTGGATACAGCTCCCATATATATCCTTAGTCCGATTTCAGGTTTATTGTGCAAATAATGGCTAATATCAGCCCAAATGGAGTGAATTTCTGGACGTACGTTTCCATTTTGTGCAACTCGACTCCGATATATATTTTTATATCCTACAACACTATGTTTTGGGGGTATTATGAGTTTGATTGGGCCAACAATTATGTGACACCTCGAAATATTGGTTTCCCACATAGGAAAGTATATATGGATCTTCCTATCTCGCCGACCTGAGACGATCTAGCTATGTATGTCCGTCCGTCTGTCCATGTTAATTTGTAATCACTCTACAGGTCGCAGTTATGGTACGATCTTCACGAAATTTAGAATGGAGGTGGGGGTAGGGCCAGAATAGTACCCTTTGCTTTTGGGGATGATCGGATAATATTTAGTCGAAATGGACCAAAAACTGGGAAATTTCCTGATTTTGCAGTTGCTCTACAGGTCGCAATTATAGACCAATCGACGTCGAATTTAGCATGGAGCTAGAGCTTAGGGCTGGGCAGAAGTCCTCCAAATGTGGTGGTCATCGGGTAATATTTAGTGGGTGAAATAGACCATAACAGTTGTGTTAGATAAAAGTCAAATTTTCCATTAAACCGCGAATATTTTTAATCCCGGCGAAATTATAAATAGACCAACAGGTCAATTCTGACCGTTACGTACATGTCGATTGTAAATATATCGGATATATGTAGCGAAATATATGCAATGAATATATACAAAGAAAGGGGATGTTAGCTAGAACGCTTATATCTCAAGAATCGCTGGACCGATGTTGACAAATTTTGTCAATTCAGAATGTCCTCTTGGCATAAAAGAATAAAATCTAAAAAAATCACATAAAAAGATGCAAAAAATGATGTCAATATAGATTTTGTAGTATTTTGTGACATTTTTTATTTCACATTTTTTGTAGCATGCGATTTTTTCAATTTAACTGAAAATATTGAAGTGTTTGTTTTGTAATATTTTTTCACCTTACAACACAGTTTGGTGATATTTTATACCGATGGCAATTATCGTCCGATCCTCACGAAAATTTTCACAATGGTACGTTTCGGCTCAGAAGGGCTAGACCTATTGTTTTCGAAGATGTCCGCAATATATTAATGGTTGAAATGGGCCAACAACTAACAATTTTCCCTATTTTGCAGCCGTTATAAAGGTTACAAATATTAACCAAAGGTCACGAAATCTCGCATAAAGTTAGAGTTTAGGACAGCGGGTACAATGGACCACTAATTTGTTTGAAAAAATACCAGCATTACTTACAGGCGATATCCGAAATACACAAAAAGCGAACTTCCTGCTTTTTTATGCTGATTTCGTTGACGAATTTAGCGAAATATCTTAGACAAGCAAATCATATAGATGAATCTAAATTTGGAGATACGGAGGGGCTTCTTGCTTTTGGACATGATCGCAAAATATTTAGAGGTTCAAGTGAACCAACAGACTTCCTGATCACAAAATTGAAGCCAATCGACACGCCTGTGAAGAGAGTTAAGGACAGGGAAGAATTCTAGCATTTTGGATGATCATTGCATTATATTTAGCTGTAAAATGGAGCACAACAATTAACAGCACAACGAAGTGCGTAAATATTGGGCAAATGTCCCAACTCAAAATCCTAATTTCAAAAGCGAAATCTTCCTTATGTCCATTTCAAAAGCGAAATGGACATAAGGGGGCTTCTAACATATTGTAGTGTTGTAGGGTATAACATAGTCGGCCCGCACGACTATAGCCTTTGCTTACTTGTTTTTGTATCCGACGTTTCGTTGAGATTTTCCAACTTCTTCATGTATACATTTATTAAATCTGACAACAACAATAGAAGTGGTAAATATTTATTTAAGTTTATATTACATTATTGTTCTTAGCACTAAGTGAAGTAATATATATAAATAATTTTTTGGTCAAGTTTCTAAATTTCATTTTTGTTAAGCGAAGGTTTTTCCACATTTCCCATTTTCGATAAGGAAGTAGCGTTCACTTGTAAATATAATATAAATAACCATATTTTTATTAAAATGTAAATTATTTCACGGTTGTTTTCAATATATTATTAACATTAGATATAATGTAAAGTTGGGATATTAAGATCCCCCGAAAACGGTGCCCAAAAACAATTGTCGGAACACCGACTAAACATTAAGACAACTACTATATGAGCAAACAAGTAAGCAAAGACAATAGTCGTGCGGGCCGACCATGTGATACCCTACAACACTACAATATTTGAGAAGCCCCCTCATGTCCAAATCCATTTTAGAAGATTTCACTTTTGAAATTATGTTACGGAGCACTGCCCAGATATTACCCTTAGCATTTTGACCAGGGACATTTTCCCGATATTTATGCTCTCCGTCGTGCTGCTAGTTTTTGTGGTCCATTTTACGGCTAAATATAATCCAATGGTCATACAAAATACTAGAATTCTTCACTGTGCTTAACTATCTTCTCAGGCGTGTCGATTGGCTTCAATTGTGTAATCAGGATTTTTTTTCTGTTTTTGGTTCATTTGAATCCCTAAATATTTTGCGATCATCTCCAAAAGCAATTTGGCTATATTCTTCAACGAAATCAGCATAAAAAAGGTAGAAGTTCGCCTATTGTGTATTTCGGATATCGCCTATAAGTAATGTTGGTATTTTTTCACACAAAAGTAGTGGTTCATTCTACCCGCTGTCTTAAATTCTAACTTTATGCAAGATTTCGTGTCCTTTGGTTTCTATTTGTGACCTTTATAACGGCTGCACAATCAGGAACATTTTGAGTTGCTAGTCCATTTCAACCCCTAAATATATTGCGGACATCTTTGAAACCCTTCTGAGCCAAACCCTACCTTTGTCAAAAATTTCGTGAGGATCGAACGATAATTGCAATCTGTATATGAATAATATCCCCTGTGTTGTAAAGTGCTAAAATATTACAAAATATGCACTTCAATAATATAAGTCAAATTGAAAAGATCGCATGCGATAAAAATTATGAAAAAATAAAAAAATGCCACAAAATACTACAAAATCTATATTAACATCATTATAGGTATCTTTTTATGCGATTTTTTTAGATTTTATACTTTTATGCCAAAAGGGCATTCTAATTTTACAAAATTTGTCAAAATCGCTCCAGCCATTCTTGAGATATAAGCATTATAGCTAACACCCCCTTCCTTTGTATATATACATTGTATATATTTCGCTATATATATCCGATTTACTATCGGCATCTACGTAACGGTCAGAATTGACTGTTTGTCTTTTTGTAATTTCGCCGGCCTTAAAAATATTCGCGGTTTAATGGAAAATTTGACTTTTATTTATCACAGATGCTATGGTCTATTTCAACCACTAAATGTTACCCGATGAAGGCTTCTGCCCATCCCAAAGATCTAGCCCTATGCTAACTTTCGCTTCGATTGGTCTATAATTGCGACCTGTAGAGCAATTGCAAAATCAGGATTTTTCAGTTTTTGGTTCATTTCAACCCCTAGATAGTATACGATCATC